GTCAAATAAAACAAATAAAAAAATGTTTTGTTTGTTTCCTAGAAACAATGGTGACTCAATTGACCCCTTTGGCTCAACTTACCCCACTCTCCCCTACATAGATTATTAATTAGTTTTATATTACATTAGATTTGGAATATACAGTTGAAGTCGGAAGATTACATACACTTAGGTTGGAGTCATTAAAACTTGTTTTTCAACCACTCCACAAATTTCTTGTTAACAAACGATAGTTTTGGCAAGTCGGTTAGGACATCTACTTTGTGCATGACACAAGTAATTTTTCCAACAATTGTTTACAGACAGGTTATTTCACTTATAATTAATTGTATCACAATTCCAGTAGGTCAGAAGTTTACATACAGCTTGGAAAATTCCAGAAAATGATGTCATGGCTTTAGAAGCTTCTGATAGGCTAATGGACATCATTTGAGTCAATTGGAGGTGTACCTATGGATGTATTTCAAGGCCTACCTTCAAACTCAGTGTCTCTTTGCTTGACATCATGGGAAAATCAAAAGAAATCAGCCAAGACCTCAGAAAAAAATGTAGACCTCCACAAGTCTGGTTCATCCTTGGGAGCAATTTACAAATGCCTGAAGGTACCACGTTCATCTGTGCAAACAATAGTACGTAAGTATAAACACCATGGGACCACGCAGCTGTCATACCGCTCAGGAAGGAGACGCCTTCTGTCTCCTAGAGATGAACGTATTTTGGTGTGAAAAGTGCAAATCAATCCCAGAACAACAGCAAAGGACCTTTTGAAGATGCTGGAGGAAACATGTACAAAAGTGTCTATATTCACAGTAAAACAAGTCCTATATCGACATAACCTGAAAGTTCGCTCAGCAAGGAAGAAGCTACTGCTCCAAAACCGCCATAAAAAAGCCAGACTACGGTTTGCAACTGCACATGGGGACAAATATTGTACTTTTTTGAGAAATGTCCTCTGGTCTGATGAAACTAAAATAGAAATGTTTGGCCATAATGACCATCGTTATGTTTGGAGGAAAAAGGAGTGGCTTGCAAGCCAAAGAACACCATCCCAACCGTGAAGCACGGGGGTGGCAGCATCATGTTGTGGGGGTGCTTTGCTGCAGGAGGGACTGGTGCACTTCACAAAATAGATGGCATCATGAGGAAGGAAAAATATGTGGATATATTGAAGCAACATCTCAAGACATCAGTCAGGAAGTTAAAGCTTGGTCGCAAATGGGTCTTCCAAATGGACAATGACCCCAAGCATACTTCCAAACTTGTAGCAAAATGGCTTAAGGACAACAAAGTCAAGGTATTGGAGTGGCAATCACAAGACCTCAATCCTATAGACAATTTGTGGGCAGAACTGAAAAAGTGTGTGCAAGCAAGGAGGCCTACAAACCTGACTCAGTTACACCAGCTCTGTCAGGAGGAATGGGCCAAAATTCACCCAACTTATTGTGGGAAGCTTGTGGAAGGCTACCCGAAACGTTTGACCCAAGTTAAACAATTTAAAAGCAATGCTACCAAATACTAATTGAGTGTATGTAAACTTCTGACCCACTGGGAATGTGATTAAAGAAATAAAAGCTGAAATAAATCATTCTCTCTACTATTATTCTGACATTTCACATTCTTAAAATAAAGTGGTGATCCTAACTGACCTAAGGCATTTTTTTTACTTTAATTTTTACTAGGATTAAATGTCAGGAATTGTGAAAAACTGAGTTTAAATGTATTTGGCTAAGGTGTATGTAAACTTCCAACTTCAACTGTATATTTCACCCAAGGAATATTTAGTTTTCAATTTGAACTACTGCATGGTGATGTTTTAAGCTGAGAGTGTATTGGAAAAGGACCCTAATGCCTAACTTGTACTTTCCTTATCGGACTTGGTCAGTGTTATGGGTTTCCTCTCACTTCTAAGAAGCTTTTACTTTGTGCAGAACTTTTCTGCCATGCTCCTACCTCTTTGCATTTCAGGGCCACATGTTTTGAAACAAAATGCCTGCAGGGGATCGCCATCTTGTGGTGCATACACAACATCACAGGCCTACACTCACAGAGACACCGCCTTACTCAAGCTACTCATCTCTTTACTGTAACAAATATGCATTGGTGAAAAAAGTATCCAATTGTCATACTTGAGTAAAAGTAAAGACATGTTAATAGAAAGTGAAAGTCACCCAGTAAAGTACTACTTGAGTAAAAGTCTGGTTTTAAATTTACTTAAGTATCAAAAGTAATATTACATGCTAAAATATACTTAAGTATCAAAAGTAAAAGTAAATGCCATAAAGCATTTCAAATTCCTCATATTAAGCAAACCAATTGGCACAATTTTTTATTTATTTACACTTTAACACTTAGACATCATTTACAAATGAAGCATTTGTGTTTAGTGAGTCTGCCAGATCAGAGGCAGTAGGGATGACCACCTGTTCTCTTGAAAAGTGTGCAAATTGGGCCATTTACCTGTCCTGCTAACCATTCACAATGTAGTACTTTTGGGTGTCAGGGAAAATGTATAGGAGTAAAAAATATATATTTTCAGTTGTCAAAAATATAAATAGTAAAGTAAAGTTACTTTACACCACTGCACGTATAGTGGATAAAAATAGTATGTTCTCGTGTTATTAGGGTCTTCCTGGATATCCTGGCTTGCCTGGGCCACCTGGAGTAAAGGTATGCAGCAGTTTCATCACCGTATTCAATACAACTGTGTGTGTGTGTGTTGATTGGGCTCTAATTACCATGTTATCTCATATGTTTAGGGGATTCTCGGGAGCCCTGGCCTACCTGGTCTGATAGGAACGGAGGGACCCAAGGTTAGCCAGCCTCACTGTAGAAAGCAGCGCTCTGTGTACGGTGTCGGCATAGGTTTGAATCTGACCTACTGCCCTTTGACACAACCTCTCTCTACCTTTCCCCACTGTCATTCTTTCTCTTTGTCTGTTCAAGAAAGTCAGAAAATACCTTAAAATATATTTCAGAAAGCAACGCTTAACTCTTAACTATTCACCATCCAATCTCACTGAGATCACCCATTTTATTTTATTTAATGTGGTGTTACTTAGTATCTTATGTGACATGACGTTAATGTGATATCTTTATAAATGTCTCCAAGGGGTTCCAAGGAGATCTAGGTCCCAAAGGACTGACAGAGTTCAGGCAGGTTAATTATACAGGTAAGAGCTTTGAATTCAACATATACAGTCCTCTGGACATCATGGACCCTTTATTGACATCGTAGTAGATTAATACTCTCACTGACCCATGGATGTTACTGTGTCTTTGCTTTACATTAGACTCCTAGAATGGGTTTTCTCAAGCACGGGACCTGAAAAACATGATCAGTTGATTTGATATCTGGGATAGTGTGAATGAGTGATTGAAGAACAAATATTCTCACAAAACTGAATTTTCCAGCGCAAAAAAAAAAGTAAACACTAAGCAGACTGAACTCCATGGGCCTCTAAGAACCTACGTTGTGTAAAACAAACACTGCATGCTGGCATGGTCAATAGCCCGTTTACCATTCTCCTCTTTCATTTAGTTGCTCCCTCTCTCCATCGGTTCAGTTCCACTCCAAGAATGGTGGCAAACATGAAAATGGCATTTTATTTAGCTCGACGACTACATTTGAAATAAGTGTTGTATAATGCTTCATGTGTTTATCCTCGGGGCTTTGTACTGTTTAAATGTACAATGTTTTAACCCCCCCAAAATAAATAGACAATCTAATCAAATTACATTTGAGTGAACAAAGTAGAGGGCAGATTGCGGGTGGAAGCGGGTGGACACATGATTTCTGGAACACCACAATGACTCATCTGGATCTCAACTGAGACTCACCCGTAAGGAAACTGACAGGATAGACTGATTGACTAAATGATAAAGGAGAATGGGACTTTGTGGGCATATTGTGTGTGTGTGTCCTGGCATGATGTCATCATTTTTTGTCCCGCTGGCATGACATCATCATCGTGTGTCCAGATATCAAATCAAGTGATCATGTTTTTTTCATACACTCTTAGAAAAAAGGTTCTAGTTAGTACCAAAAATGGGGTTTTCATTTCATTTTCATTGTTCCTGTAGGATAACTATTTTTGAGGCCTTGGAGAACCTGTTTATAATGGTTCTATGTATAACCATCATGAGAGGGGTCTAAGTAGCACCAGTGTTCTAAGTAGGAACCTTTTTGGTGCTACTTAGAACCCATACATAAAAAAGGGGGTTATTTGATTTGTCCCTGTAGGGGAACCATGTCTGGTGCTTTGCAGAACCCTCTCATTAAAAACTTTCTACACTGGGTTCCAGGTAGAACCAATAGCAGGTTATATCTAGAACTATTTACATTCAGTAGAATAGCTCATCCATAATTAAACTTGAGGAAAACATTTGAGAAAAGGTTTCTAGACATTTCTCCCACTGGTTGTATCAAGGTGAGATATGCCACCAAGACGTGATTCAGCATTAGAATCTTTAAATAATGGACTATGGAGGTCTGGTGTCTAGTGTCATTATGTACATGCTGACACTCCTCACTTAAGGTTCCAGAACAACCACCCCAAAATAACCATGCACATAAACACAGAGGAAATACAGTTACCTGCACAGTATCTGTGAGCTATTGGCTAGAGGGCATGTGCTAAGACCAGAGTAGGCACATTTACTATTTAACGCAACAGTTTTTGTGACAAAACTATCGGTAGAGTTGAAAGTGCGATGGAAACACATTGAACTTTAGATTTATATTCGCTACATGAAAATGTAAGGGAAAAAAGTACATTTTGTGTGCACTACGTCATCACACACTGATTTTATCTGCAACAAGTCAGTTTGGTGGAAACACACCACTGATTGGAAAATGGGCATATGCTTTATGCAGATTTTAGAATATTCACATGAAAATATGTCGCCAATTGGATGGAAACCTATATAGCTAGTGAAGAGTTACAACTACTATTCCATTTAATTCAGTAATTGTGACTCCCATGTAACCTGTTGTTTCAGGGATGCGGGGGGAGTCGGGGCTGCCTGGAAGACCAGGACCCCCTGGAGATGTTGGGGAGATGGGGATGCACGGCCCCCCAGGACTGCCTGGGGTATCAATACCAGGTCAGTGACCCAAAAGTCCCCTGGCCAGTACTGATACCCCTTATCTCAAAATACAGTTCAGCCCCAGTGTGAGCGTGCTTGTTTATGTCTAAGAAGGTCTTTGTACTGTAACTCTACCTTACCATGCCATGCCATGCTGCATCTCCTCAGGTCCCAATGGTGAGCTTGGCCCAGTAGGGATCACTGGCACCAAGGGGTTTAAAGGAGAGCCAGGGAGGTACTACCAGAACGGGCCTACACCCGGAGAGCCTGGTAAACAGGGTGCAGCAGGCCTCAATGGTCTGAAAGGAGAGCGCGGCCCCCCAGGTCTGTCACCTCAAGTGCATTTTGTCCCCATCTCCTGCACTTCTCTCATAGAACATGGCCTGTCTTCTACTAATCTCTTGATGTTTGAAGCATTCATTGTCATAGCATCTGAATATGGATTTAAACCCTCAACACTTAGACTCTCAATTATGGCTTGTACATGCAGAAATTGTGTTGGTGCTGTAGATAATGTTATTAAGTTCTGTATAGCTTGTATTGCAATGTTGTTGTGTGTACACTCTTAGAATTAAAGGACCCTGTGGGGGGGAAAGGGTCTTAGAGGAACCCCTGTGTAATGGTTGAAACCGGAACCTTTTTGTGATGGGAGGGGTTCAATTTTGAACCTTTTTAATAATATATTGTAGACGTGGCAGCCTATCAGAAGATTGGAGGCATTGCTAATTGTAGGTGTGGCTTTCAGGTAGTTATTTTTGGCCACCCATTAGAGTAAATGCCATAGAGTACACAGTATGAGTCATAATACCCATAAAACCTAGCAGTCAAACAGGGAAATGGTTCCAATCGTTTTTCCACCATTCGTTTTTCCCATAGGGGATTTTAGAAACACTTAAAATAAGGTCTGTGTTTTGTGTTGGCTTAGCCTGGCGTGACATTCTGATAAACTGAAATCCTTCTCAGACAAGGTGACTTTTGTCAATATATTCGCCTGTGTTTAACCCCAACAAATGAAATGCTAATTACCTGCTAATGTGGCTATCATAAAGAACTACAAATGCCATGATGATCTAGACGAGACTGCCGAATCGAGGCAAAGGTAAGAATCTCTGGATTAACTATCTAATGTTAGCTAAATGTAGTAATGCATAAATTGGCTACATTTCTTTCAATGTACCTGTTAGCAAAGGTGCCAGCTAGAGATGACGTGCAGGAGCTTGCAGGGATTTGTAGTTTTGCATGATATCTACTTTGATGCTAATTAGCATTTTTGAATGTGAGAGTAAATAAAGCTGAATATATTGATAAAAGTCACCTTGTCCGGGAGAGATTTACATAGTTATCAAAACGTCACGCCAGGGTAAGCCTAAACAAAACACAGCCCTTATTTTACATTTTTCTAAAATCCCCTATAGAAAAAATGCATGTTGGAAAACGATTGAAACCATGCCCCTATTTGACCGCTAGGTTTTATGGTATTATGACACCTCCACTGTGGGTCTCTATTCCTGTTCATCATGTTAAGTTTGTACACTGCAAATGTATATTTTCCTTGAATATTTAGGCATATTCTAATATAATATTCATAATACTAACATTACTGATTATATATAGTAATACAGTAGTAACTATTACATCTATAGGATTTGCGTAGGCTCTTGAGGAACTCATACACCTCAGTAAGCCTCATTGAAGCTACAAAACTGTCAGTGTTCAACATTTATATGTGAAGACAATACAAAAGAACAGATGAACAGGAATGACATTTATGCCCACGGGTGGCATTAAAATAGCTATCTGAAAGCCACGCCCCTATTAAGCCATGTCTCCAGTCCAGGGTTCTTCCAGGAACCCTTTGCTACATTGAATCGTTATAGGTTCCTCCAAGAACCCCTCAACTAACCAAAGGTGCAAATATAGCAATGGTTGCTTGAGGAACTCCAGGGGTTCCTTGAGGATCTCCAGGATTCCTCGAGTCACCACTGATTCTGTGAATGTAGTTTGCTTCCATTTTTCCTCATCTTGTCAGCTAATATTTCACTTGTGTTTGTCTTGCTAAACATGTTCCCTGTCTGATCTGCATGCCTTTGTGTCTCCTGCAATGATGTCATCATTGTGTGTGTCCCGGGATGATGTCATCATTCTGTGTGTGCCCCTCGTATGACATCATCGTGTGTCTTGTGATGTGTGTTGGGTGGGCCATAGGTTGTGGAGGTAAGCACTCCTGTTTCACTGGTTTGAATTAATAGTAAAAACACCATAATTTAGACATGCACTTTATTCGATCCTGGAATTCCTGTGAGGGGATTCTGCATTGTAGTAGCAGTCATTTTTACAGTAACAAAACCATTACCATTAATTACCAAAACCATTAATTGATTTCATTCGACCATGGGATAAAAATATACTGTATGAATAGTGCACTGTGGATTTGATTGAATTGATCTCTCAATGTATTCTGTATATTTGTGGACCCCTTCACTCAGCCATTGGGATATTGGGTTAAGGTGTGTGATCGTGGTTGTGCTGCAGGTACGTACTGCATCCCAGGTGCACCAGGAGAGCCTGGAGCGGATGGAGATCAAGGTCCTCCTGGATCTGCAGGGTTCCCAGGTAGCAAAGGTGAGTCATTATGTTACATGGATTTATTTATGTGGAATTATTAGTACATGTGTCTAGAGCTGTTGCGGTGACCATATTACCACCACACCGGCAGTCATGAGTCATGACCGCGGTAAAATTCCACATGACCGTTGAGTCATGGTAATCTCCTTTTATGCACTCTGGACATGCTTTGGTAGTACCCAACTTGCTAACTACCATCAGGTTCTAATGGCCTGGTACTCAGGGCTGTATTGTTCCTCTAACCACTCTGACATCAATGCAAATGCGATCAAAAATGACATCAAACACATATCATCAAAACAGTATCGTTCTTTTAAAACTCACTGTGATAATCAATTTGAAGAAAGAAGTTCAAGAGCAGGTTGAAACTGAATGTAAAACACGGTCGATGTGAATGTTGTTTCAAAGCCTAACACAATGAAATGGACAGCGCTTTCTAAGGTGATGATTCATTCAAAACACCCATAAACAGATTAGAGCTTATGCATGTGCATAGGCCTATGAGCCCAAGCCTCCCCAAAAAACGAAATAAAAATGATGATTGTGCCGTTATACAATACATAGCCTACCGCATATTGCTCATGGCAGAATAACAAAACTGATTCATAATTGGTCTAGACTATAATCCAAAATTAAATACATTTGAGTAATCGCCTTCGAGTGTGGACTGTATTATTATGCATACTGGATGGACTGGTTACCTTATGCTATGTTCCAATAGCCCTAGGCCAGGGTTTCCCAAACTCGGTCCTCGGGACCCCAAGCGTTATGTTACTATCGATGTTCCCGAACAGATTTCACTTGGTTTCCCAAATGAGGCACTGGGTAGCTGCAACAGAGTTGAAGAGCCCATGGCATAGAGAGTTTGGGCAGAATGTCACCTGTTGCGCAGCAAGAGCATGCATCTCAAACAGTGGTTGATGCGTGGAGTGAAATATGTGTTCTTATATTTATTTCTCAGCTGCTCATATTAAGCACATGCTCCACTATAAAATCGAAGTAGCTTACCTGGCATCATTGACAAACGGACCGGCGGGAAAGCGCGCGCTCATTCGCTATTCGAGTGCGTACAGATAACGTGTGTTTTCCCCTGCCTCTGTTTCTGCCCATTTGATAATGGGCCATTATAAATCAAAAGTAATTTTACTTTAATATGTAAAGACAGTATTACATTGAGAATAGTCTGATGGGTGAAAATATGATCACTTGATGAGAGAACTAGCCTGAGGGAAGGAACAGAGCGCAATTTATTTTTTATTTTTTTACTTTCTCAAATCATCAATAACCTATAGTCACATCATGCAGCCCATAAATGTTTTGATTTCTAAGACATTCTAAGATTTGTATCATTCACAACTAAAGTTGCCAAATAACTTTAAATCTAGCGTATAGGACCAAATGTTTCAAATTATCACTTTTGGCTCAACATAGCCACTTCATATGCGCACTTGCTCTGGAACGGTAAAAATATCCTTTCTATTTTATTCAGCTAAGTTCAAAAATATAAACGCAACATGTAAAGTGTTGGTCCCATGTTTCAAGAACTGAAATTAAAGATCCTAGAAATGTTCTATACACACAAAAAGCTTATTTCTCTAAAAATGTGCACAAATTTGTTTACATCCCTGTTGGTGAGAATGTACAGTGGCTTGCGAAACTATTCACCCCCCTTGGCATTTTTCCTATTTTGTTGCCTTACAACCTGGAATTAAAATAGATTTTGGGGGGGTTTGTATCATTTGATTTACACAACATGCCTACCACTCTGAAGATGGGGTGAAACAAACAAGAAATAAGACAAAAAAAACAGAAAACTTGAGCGTGCATAACCCCCCAAAGTCAATACTACGATGGTGTTCTCGGGGTGATGAGAGGTGTTGGGTTTGCGCCAGACATAGCGTTTTCCTTGATGGCCAAAAAGCTCAATTTTAGTCTCATCTGACCAGAGTACCTTCTTCCATGTGTTGGGGGAGTCTCCCACATGGCTTTTGGCAAACACCAAACGTGTTTGCTTATTTTTTTCTTTAAGCAATGGCTTTTTTCTGGCCGCTCTTCCATAAAGCCAAGCTCTGTGGAGTGTACGGCTTAAATTGGTCCTATGGACAGATACTCCAATCTTCGCTGTGGAGATTTGCAGCTCCTTCAGGGTTATCTTTGGTCTCTTTGTTGCCTCTCTGATTACTCTGATTAATGCCCTCCTTGCATGGTCCGTGAGTTTTGGTGGGCAGCCCTCTCTTGGCAGGTTTGTTGTGGTGCCATATTCTTTCCATTTTTTTATAATGGATTTAATGGTGCTCCATGGGATGTTCAAAGTTTCTGATATTTTTTTATAAACCATCCCTGATCTGTACTTCTCCACAACTTTGTCCCTGACCTGTTTGGAGAGCTCCTTGGTCTTCATGGTTCCGCTTGCTTGGTGGTGCCCCTTGCTTAGTGGTGTTGTAGACTCTGGGGCCTTTCAGAACAGGTGTACTGTATATATACTGAGATCATGTGACAGATCATGTGACACTTAGATTGCACACAGGTGGACTTTATTTAACTAATTATGTGACTTCTGAAGGTAATTGGTTGCACCAGATGTTATTTAGGGGCTTCATAGCAAAGGGGTGAATACATATGCATGCATCACTTTTCCGTTATTTATTGTGTAGAATCTTTTGAAACAAGTTCTTTTTTTCATTTCACTTTACCAATTTTGACTATTTTGTGTATGTCCATTGCATGAAATCCAAATAAAAATCTATTTAAATTGCAGGTTGTAATGCAACAAAATAAGAAAAACGCCAAGGGAGATGAATACTTTTGCAAGGCGCTGTATACTTTGCCAAGATTATCCATCCACCTGACAGGTGTGGTATGTCAAGAAGCTGATTAAACAGCATGATAATTACACAGGATTACCTTGTGCTGGGGACAATAAAAGGCCACTCTAAAATGTGCAGTTTTGTCACACAACACAATGTGACAGATGTCTCAAGTTTTGAGGGAGTGTGCAATTGGCATGCTGACTGCAGGAATGTCCACCAAACCTTTTCCCAGAGAATTGAATGTTAATTTCAACATTGTTTTAGAGAATTTGGCAGTACGTCCAACCGGCCTCACAACCGACAACCACATGTAACCATTCCAGCCCAAGACCTCCGCATCTGGCTTCTTCACCTGCGGGATCATCTGAGACCAGCCACCCAGACAGCTGATGAAACTGTGGGATTGCACAACCGAAGAATTTCTGCACAAACTGTCAGCAACTGTCTCAGGAAAGCTCATCTGCGTGCTCGTCGTCCTCACCAGGGTCTTGACCTGACTACAGTCATCGTAACCAACTTCAGTGGGCAAATGCTCACATTCGATGGCCACTTGCACGCTGGAGAAGTGTGCTCTTCACGGAATAATCCTGGTTGTAAATGTACCGAGCATGTATGGTGTCGTGTGGGCTAGCATTTTGCTGATGTCAACATTGTCAACAGAGTGCCCCATGGTGGAGGTGGGGTTATGGTATGCGCAGGCAGGCACAAGCTACGGACAACGAACACAATTGCATTTTATCGATGTCAATTTCAATGCACAGAGATACTGTGACGAGATCCTGAGGCCCATTGTCGTGCCTTTCATCCGCCGCCTTCACCTCATGTTTCAGCATGATAATGCACGGCCCCATGTCGCAAGGATCTGTACACAATTCCTGGAAGCTGAAAATGTTCCTGTTCTTCCATGGCCTGCATACTCACCAGACATGTCACCCATGAGCATGTTTGTGATGCTCTGGATCAACGTGTACGACAGTGTGTTCCAGTTCCCGCCAATATCCAGCAACTTCGCACAGCAATCGAAGAGAGTGGGACACATTCCCAGGCCACAATCAACAGCTTGATCAACTCTATGCGAAGGAGATGTGTCTTGCTGCATGAGGTAAATGGTGGTCACACCAGATACTGACTGGTTTTCTGATCCACGCATCTAGTAAAAAAAAAAAAAAAGTATCTGTGCCCAACAGATGCATATCTATATTCCCAGTCATGTGAAATCCATAGATTAGGCCCTTAAATAATGTATTTCAATTGACTGATTTCCGTATATGAACTGTAATCTTTGAAATTGTTGAATGTTGCATTTATATTTTTGTTCAGTGTATATTCTTCTTACTATAAAATCATATAAATAATGGCGCCGGAGAAGATGGCTGCCATTTTACAGCCCTCTAACCAATTCTACTATTATGTGTGTTTTTTGGCGTTATTTGTAATTTATTCTGTACATAATGTTTATGCCACCATCTGTTATGACCAAAAAGAGCTTCTGGATATCAGGACAGTGATTACTCACCTCGTATTGGACGAAGATTCTTTATTCAACGCGTCAGACACGAAGGATATCCTACAGACACCCGACAAGGCCCAAATCCCTGTCATTCGCATGAGAAAGAGACAGAGATATTGTGGACGTAGGTCGGGGTGCCTTGTAAGGATCCGACTGCGAGCGAGTAAACTGCCTCTTCCATCAATCCTATTAGCCAATGTTCAATCATTTGAAAACAAATTGGACAACCTAAGATTACGGTTATCCTACAAATGGGACATTAAAAACTGTAATATCTTATGTTTCACAGAGTCATGGCTGAACGACGTCATTGATAACATACAGCTGGCGGGATATACGCTATATCGTCAGGATAGAATGGCTGACTCCAGTAAGACAAGGGGTGGCGGTCTGTGTATATTTGTAAACAACAGCTGGTGCAAAAAATCTAATACTAAGGTAGTCTCAAGGTTTTGCTCGCCTGAGATAGAGTATCTCATGTTAAGCTGTAGACCACACTATTTACCAAGAGAGTTTTCTTCTATATTTTTCGTAGCTGTCTATATACCACCACAAACCAATGCTGGCACTAAGACTGCACTCAATGAGCTGTATAAGACCATAAGTGCAACCAGAGGAAAAAAAAAACTATAGACCGCCTTTACTCCACACACAGAGACGCATACAAAGCTCTCCCTCACCCTCTATTTGGCAAATCTGACCATAACTCTATCCTCCTGATTCCTGCTTATAAGCAAAAACTAAAGCAGGAAGCACCAGTGACTCGGTTAATAAAAAAGTGGTCTGATGACGCAGATGCTAAGCTACAGGACTGTTTTGCTAGCACAGACTGGAATATGTTCCGGGATTCTTCAGATGGCATTGAGGAGTACGCCACATCAGTCACTGGCTTCATCAATAAGTGCATCGATAACGTCGTCCCCACAGTGACCGTACGTACATACCCCAACCAGAAGCCATGGATTACAGGCAACATCCGTACTGAGCTAAAGGCTAGAGCTGCCGCTTTCAAGGAGCGGGACTCTAACCCGGACGCTTTTAAGAAATCCCGCTATGCCCTCTGACGAACCATCAAACAGGCAAAGAGTCAATACAGGACTAAGATTGAATCGTACTTCACCGGCTCTGACGCTCGTCGGATGTGGCAGGGCTTGAAAACCATTACAGACTACAAAGGGAAGCACAGCTGCGAGCCGCCTAGTGACACAAGCCTACCAGACGAGCTAAATCACTTCTATGCTCGCTTTGAGGCAAGCAACACTGAAGCATGCATGAGAGCACCAGCTGTTCCGGATGACTATGTGATCACGCTCTCCGTAGCCGATGTGAGTAAGACTTTTAAGCAGGTCAGCATTCACAAGGCCGTAGGGCCAGACGGATTACCAGGACATGTACTCCGAGCATGTGCTGACCAACTGGCAAGTGTCTTCACTGACATTTTCAACATGTCCCTGACTGAGTCTGTAATACCAACATGTTTCAAGCAGACCACCATAGTCCCTGTGCCCAAGGACACTGAGATAACCTGCCTAAATGACTACCGACCCGTAGCACTCACGTCTGTAGCCATGAAGTGCTTTGAAAGGCTGGTCATGGCTCACATCAACACCATTATCCCAGAAACCCTAGACCCACCCCAACAGATCTACAGATGATGCAATCTCTATTGCACTCCACACTGCCCTTTCCCACCTGAACAACAGGAACACCTACGTGAGAATGCTATTCATTGACTACAGCTCAGCGTTCAACACCATAGTGCCCTCAAAGCTCATCACTAAGCTAAGGATCCTAGGACTAAACACCTCCCTCTGCAACTGGATCCTGGACTTCCTGACGGGCCACCCCCAGGTGGTAAGGGTAGGTAACAACACATCTGCCACGCTGATCCTCAACACGGGGGCCCCTCAGGGGTGCGTGCTCAGTCCCCTCCTGTACTCCCTGTTCACCCATGACTGCATGGCCAGGCACGACTCCTACACCATCATTAAGTTTGCCGACGACACAACAGTGGTACGCCTGATCACTGACAACAATGAGACAGCCTATAGGGAGGAGGTCAGAGACCTGGTCGTGTGGTGCCAGGAGAACAACCTCTCCCTCAACGTGATCAAGACAAAGGAGATGATTGTGGACTACAGGGGGGAAAAAAGAGGACTGAGCATGCCCCCATTCTAATCGACGGGGCTGTAGTGGAACAGGTTGAGAGCTTGGTGTCCACATCACCAACAAACTGTCATGGTCCAAACACACCAAGACAGTCGTGAAGAGGGCACGACAAAGCCTATTCCCCATCAGGAGACTGAAAACATTTGGCATGGGTCCTCAGATCTTCAAAAAGTTATACAGCTGCACCATCGAGAGCATCCTAACTGGTTGCATCACCGCCTGGAATTGCAACTGCTCGGCCTCCGACCGCAAGGCACTACAGAGGGTAGTGCGTACGGCCCAGTACATCACTGGGGCCAAGCTTCCTGCCATCCAGGACCTCTATACCAGGCGGTGTCAGAGGAAGGCCCTCAAAATTGTCAAAGACTCCTGCCACCCTAGTCATAGACTGTTCTCTCTGCTACCGAACGGCAAGTGGTACCGGAGCGCCAAGTCTAGGTCCAAAAGGCTTCTCAACAGCTTCTACCCCCAACCCATAAGACTCCTGAACAGCTAATCATGGCAACCCGGACAATTTGCACTGCCCCCCCACCCCCACCCCGTCCACCTTTTTTACTCTGCTGCTACTCTGTTGATTATTTATGCAGGTCACTTTAACTCTACCCACATGTACATATTACCTCAATTACCTCAACTAGCCGGTGCCCCCGCACATTGACTCTGCACAGGTACCCCCCTGTATATAGCCTCCCTACTGTTATTTTATTTTACTGCTGCTCTTTAGTTATTTGTTTTACTTTGCATTGTTGGTTAAGGGCTTGTAAGTAAGCATTTCACTATCATATCTACACCTGTTTTATTCGGCGCATGTGGCAAATAAAATTTGATTTGATATAATATAAAAATAATGGCACAGGATTTATAAGCATATCTTGTCAGATAAATAAACAAGCCTACAGCCTATGGCATGGAGCATAGCCAGATAACATACAGTAGGCCAACTCCTATTCTGTTCTTCTGAAATAGATTTTCTTCACATCATAATGTTCCTTTAGACCTGACTAAAATAAATAATGGATTTATTATGATGGTGTATATTCAATTGATTTATTCAACTTTTTTTTTTATGTAGATGTTCCAAAGGCGCACATCAGCGGCTTGTATGCAGCTTGTATGCATGGAGGCCTGAAGATGCTAAACATGTTTATGTTAATTAACGGTCTTGTATATTAGAGGGTTGGTCTTCTGTGACCAATGGCACCTTATTATTCCCACCATAGTGCACTTTTGTGGCTTTGAAATTAAGTTAATGCCCTATACACTGAGTGTACAACACATTAGGAACACCTTCCTAATATTCAGTTGCACCCTTTTGCCCTCAGAACAAACTCATTTCATCGGGACATGTACTACAAGGTGTTGAAAGCGTTCCACAGGGATGCTGGCCCATGTTGATTCCAATGCTTCCCACAGTTGTGTCAAGTTGGCTGGATGTCCTTTGGGTAGTGGACCATTCTTGATACACACGGGAAACTGTTGAGCGTGAAAACCCAGCAGCATTGCAATTCTTGACACACTCAAACTGGTGCGATTGGCACCTACTACCATACCCCGTTCAAAGGCACTTAAATTGTTTGTCTTTACCATTCACCCTCTGAATGTCACACATACAGTACACAATCCATGTCTCAATTGTCTCAAGTCATGTCTCCTCCCCTTCATCTACACTGATTGAAGTGGATTTAACAGGTGACATCAATAAGGGATCATAGTTTTCACCTGGATTCACCTAGTCAGTCTATGGCATGGAAAGAGCAGGCGTTCCTAATGTTTTGTACAATCAGTAAATAGGCTGCCATTGTACACAGCTATTCTGTACCTTTCTCATACAGATGTAGGATCTTAATTCGAGCCAGTTTGCTACAGCAGGAAAACAATCCTGCAGCAACAGAAAATGTGAATTATTATGTGGATTATATAATGAATATACCTTTTTGTAGGGGTTGATACATTTTTTGTTAGGGAAAACCCAAATCAAGTCTGAAATTTCAAAGTGGAAATTACTTTAGAAGACTCAAATGCACTACACATTTGCATGTCCTGCTGTGCAGGAATATTCTCAGCCACAAAAAAAAAAGGTGATCAAATTAAGATCCTACATCTGTACACTATGCCTTTTTGTATTCCATGGGGTGCACAACAGAACATATGTCCCACCGGCCAAATGTGGCCTGCGAGCCGATTTAATGTGGCCCACCAAGGCTGTCTTAGTATACATTAAATAATTAACAATGGTGCACCATTTTCTGGCCCCTTGAATCATGTCAATATCTGAAATTGGCCCCTTTGACAAATCAGTGAAACTCTGTTTAATCCTTCTCATTCACGTTGTCTCATTGTTTTTAGGACGTGATGGTGATTGTGATTGTGAGCTCCCCCCGCCTTCAAAGGGAGACCCTGGCCCCATGGGGGTTCCGGGATTGGCAGGTTTACCAGGACTTTCTGGGGCACCAGGCCTTAGGGGCAACATTGGTTTTCCCGGAGACATGGGAAGAAGTGGGGCAGACGTGAGTATCATTGTCAGGAGCTTTTCCTGACCCTGTGAGCTGATCAGAAAAAGCTATATTTTTACATAACCTTTATTTTGACAGGGTCATGCTGAGACCAAGATCTCTTTTACAGATGAGCCCTGTATACACATCAATTCACATCAATATACACTATACACATCGATATACAGTGCAATTCGGAAAGTATTCAGACCCCTTGACTTTTTCCACATTTTGTTACATTACAGCCTTATTCTAAGATGTATTGAATAGTTTTTTTTTTCCCTCATCAATCTTTTATTTTTATTAATTTTTATTGAACCTTTATTTAACTAGGCAAGTCAGTTAAGAACAAATTCTTATTTACAATGACGGCCAACACAATCTACACAAAATACCCCATAATGACAAAGCAAAAACAGGTTTTCAGAAATGTTTGCAAATGTATATAATAAAAATAAAAAATAAACGGAAATATGACATTTACATAAGTATTCAGACCCTTTACTTTGTTGAAGCACCTTTGGCAGCGATTACAGCTTAGAGTCTTCTTGGGTATGACGCTACAAGCTTGGCACACCTGTATTTGGGGAGCTTCTCCCATTCTTCTCTGCAGATCCTCTCAAGCTCTTGTCAGGTTGGATGGGGAGCGCTGCTGCACAGCTATTTTCAGGTCTCTCCAGAGATGTTTGATCAGGTTCAAGTCCGGGCTCTGGCTGGGCCACTCAAGGACATTCAGAGACTTGTACCGAAGCCACTCCTGCGTTGTTTTGACTCTGTGCTGTTGGAAGGTGACCCGTTGCCCCAGTCTGAGGTCCTGAGCACTCTGGAGCAGGTTTTCATCAAGGATCTCTCTGTACTTTGCTCCGTTCATCTTTCCCTCGATCCTGACTAGTCTCCCAGTCCCTGCCGCTGAACAATATCTCCACAGCATGATGCTGCCACCACCATAGGGAGGGTGCCAGGTTTCCTCCAGACGTGACGGTTGGCATTCAGGCCAAAGAGTTCAATCTTTGTTTCATCAGACCAGAGAATCTTGTTTCTTATGGTCTGAGAGTCCTTTAGCTGCAATTTGGCAAACTCCAAGTGGGCTGTCATGTGCCTTTTACTGAGGAGTTGCCTCTGTCTGGCCACTCTACCATAAAGGCGTGATTGGTGGAGTGCTGCAGAGATGGCTGTCCTTCTGGTAGGTTCTCCCATCTCCACAGAGGAACTCTGGAGCTCTGCCAAAGTGACCATTGGGTTCTTGGTCACATCCCTGATCAAGGCCCTTCTGACCCGATTCCTCAGTTTGGCCGCGCGGCCAGCTCTAGGAAGAGTCTTGGTGGTTCCAAAGTTCTTCCATTTAAGAATGATGGAGGCCGCTGTGTTCTTGGGGAATTTCAATGCTGCAGACATTTTTTGGTACCCTTTCGCAGATCTGTGCCTCGACACAATCCTGTCTCGGAGCGCTACGGACAATTAATTCGACCTCATGGCATGGTTTTTGCTCTGACATGCACTGTCAACTGTGGGACCTTTTATAGACAGGTGTGTGCCATTCCAAATCATGTCCAATCAATTGAATTTACCACAAGTGGACTCCAATCAAGTTGTAGGAACATCAAGGATGATCAATAGAAACAGGATGCACCTGAGCTGAATTTCTAGTCTCATAGCAAAGGGTCTGAATACGTATGTAAATAAGGTATTTCTGTTTTTTATTTTTAATACATTTGCATGAATATCAAAAAACCTGTTTTTGCTTTGTCTTTATGTGGTATTGTGTGTAGATTGTTGAGGACATTTTTTCATTTAATCCATTTTCGAATAAGGCTGTAACATAACAAAATGTGGAAAAAAGTCAAGGGGTTTGAATACTTTCCGAATGCACATCAATATTCACATCAATACACAAAAAGCTAAACACAATCATAGAAAACAAACACACTCTTCAGTAAAAAGGTCCTCAATCAGCCTTTTGAATTGTCCTAGAGGCACCAATTCATCCCATTTTTTAGAGCCTTGGATATTATTCCACAAGTAAAGTGCAGAAATACTAAAAGCAGATTTACCTAACTCAATGGAGATCGAAGGGATCTCCAGTGTTAGCCATCCCTGAGACTGGGTCTGCTATCTCGTACGTCTGTAAGTTAACACTGAAGAAAGGTACGGCAGAACTTTATAAACTAAAAGAGTGCAATGCATCGATCTACAAGACTTCAAAGAAGGCCAGCCTACTGATACAGAATGCAGTGATGTGTACTGAACCTATCGGCCTTAGTAAAGCTGCTTCCAATGGCTTCAATACAGTGGCAGCTGCATTCATATAGAGAATATCGCCATATTCTATTACCAGTATGAATGTTGACTGAATTATTTGTTTTCTGCTATTAAATGACTGGCATGACCTATTCCTATAAAGGAAGCCCATTTTAATTCTTAATTTCTTAACTAACTCATCAACATGCTTTTTGAAAGATATATTTTCATCAATCCAGATACCCAGATATTTATAAGTGGGGACACGATCAATGAGGGCACCATCCAATGTAAATATGCATAAATCATCAGATACATTTTTACGTGATTTGGAGAATAACATATACTTGGTTTTACCTGCATTAAATACCAATTTCATTTCAACAAAGGCTTTCCGCAAAGCAATAAAAACAGATTGAAGCTCCGAAAGAGTGAGGTCAACCGTGGGGGCAATAGCATACACAACAGTGTCATCTGGATACAGGTGTATGTTAATTTTTTTTTGCAGATAGACCAACATTGTTCATATAGACAGTAAAAAGTACAGGACCTAAAATGGATCCCCGTGGGACACCTTTCTTAATTTCAAGGAAACCTAACTTAACACCATCAGAAAAAACACATTGTGTCCTATCTGTCAAGTAATTTTCTAACGAATTAAATGACGCCTGATCTATACCGATTGCAGACAATATTTTAATCAATAAAGAGGGGTCAACTCTTCAATAAGTCAATAAAGAGGGCAGCACAGTGCCGAGTCAGCTTTTTTAGCCTTGGCCCTGATTTCTTAATCAGGTCTGAAAATTGTATGGAGAACCAAGGATTTGTTCTATTTTTAACTGTAAGGCATTTAAAGCAGGCATGTTTGTCTGCCAGAGATATAACAATAGATGAGAAAAGTTCAAGAGCCAATTCAGGCTCAGCCATGCAACTGATAGAGAAGTAAAATATTGTTTTTATCTATCTTCATAATTATATGAGGATCAATGTTTTGATGTTTGGTGTCTCTAATACATACAATAGGAAAGTGATCACTGATGTCATTAGCAAAGACACCACTCAATAAGTACTTGTGGGGGCTATTTGTCAAAATTAGGTCAATCAGATTAGTTGAGTCAGGTTAAAGTCAGAACAAATATTTTTCAAATGATCAGAGGCCAGGGTAAGCCAATTAAAGTCAAAACCTCATAAAATAACTAATTCAAATGACAGAAAAGGTTTACAATATTCAGAAATAGTATCAACAGCATCCGTCAGTGCAGCAAGGGGGCAATAAATCCCTACTATAACCCAAACACTCAAACTTTTGGGGGATAGTGACACTTAGAGAACATGATGCCAGGAGTCGATTTCACATATGTGGCCACCCCTCCCCCCTTTTCAGTCTATCACACCTGAAGATATTGTAATCATTTCATTGTCCTTATCCATGATTGAACCCTTGAGCCAGGTCTCCGTGAGAACCAGAATATCAGGGCTCATATCATGCACCCTAGGCCCTAGGTGCAGTACAGTAAGCAAGATTTGGTTGCATTTTAGTGGGCTCCCTCTTGACGGTGGAGAGAAAAATTGTGCAGCTTTAAAGTGAACGTCCTGCAATTCGCAGGGCCCTATAGGCAGAGGCACCTCTGGGACAACTTCTGCCCAACCATAAATGATCGTATAGTTGCAATGCTTAGCCAAGGCTATACACAACAAACAGAACCAGGCTAATGTTGAGTTGATTCAAATTATTTTTTCAATTTTATAGGGCTTCCCAGGATTTGCAGGTGTCCGGGGTCCAAAAGGTCAGAAAGGTGACTTCTATCTATGTATTAAAGGTAAGGGTGACTTTTCGTTTGTCGATGTGAACATTCTATCTTGCCATTGGATGTATTTATACTGAACCAAAATATAAACGCAACATGTAAAGTGTTGGTCCCATGTTTCATGAGCTGAAATAAAAGATCCCTGAAATTTTCCATACGCACAACAAGCTTATTTCTCTAACATTTTGTGCAGGAATTTGTTTACATCTCTGTTAGTGAGAATTTCTGTCTGTAATGAAGCCCTTTTATGGGGAAAAAATCATTCTGATTGGCTGGGCCTGGCTGCCAAGCGGGTGGGCCTATGCCCTCTCAAGCCCACCCATGGCTGCACCCCTGGCCAATAGTGAAATCCATATATTAGGGCCTAATGAATTTATTTAAATTGACTGATTTCCTTATATGAACTGTAACACAAAAATAAAAAACATAAATACCTTATTTACATAAGTATTCAGACCCTTTGTATGAGACTCGAAATTGAGCTCAGATGCTTCCTGTTTCCATTGATCATCATTCAGATGTTTCTACAACTTGATTGGAGTCCAACTGTGGTCAATTCAATTGATTGGACATGATTTGTAAAGGCACAAACCTGTCTATATAAGGTCCCACGGTTGACAGTGCATGTCAGAGCAAAAACCAAGCCAGAAGGAATTGTCCGTAGAGCTCCGAGATAGGATTGTGTCCAGGCACAGATCTGGGGAAGGTACAAAAAAAATGTCTGCAGCATTGAAGTTCCCCAAGAACACAGTGGCCTCCATTTTTCTTAAATAGAAGAACTTTGGAACCACCAAGACTCTTCCTAGAGCTGGCTGCCCAGCCAAACTGAGCAATCGGGGGAGAAGGGCCTTTATCAGGGAGGTGACCAAGAACCCAATGGTCACTCTGACAGAGCTCTAGAGTTCCTCTGTGGAGATGGGAGAAACTTCCAGAAGGACAAGCATCTCTGCAGCAATCCACCAATCACGCCTTTATGGTAGACGGAAGCCACTCCTCAGTAAAAGGCACATGACAGCCCACTTGGATATTGCCAAAAGGCAACTAAAGACTCTCAGACCATGAGAACAAGATTATCTCGTCTGATGAAACAAAGATTGAACTCTTTGGCCTGAATGCCAAGCGTCACGTCTGGAGGAAACCTGGCACCATCCTTACGGTGAACCATGGTGGTGGCAGCATCATGCTGTGGGGATGTTTTTCAGCGGCAGCGACTGTGAGACTAGTCAGGATCGAGGGAAAGATGAATGGAATTAAGTACAGAGAGCTCCTTGATGAAAACCTGCTCCAGAGCACTCAGGACCTCACACTGGGGTGAAGGTTCACCTTCCAACAGGACAACGACCCTCAGCACACAGCCAAGACAACGCAGAGGTGGCTTCGGGACAAGTCTCTGAATGTCCTTGAGTGGCCCAGTCAGAGCCCGGACTTGAACCCGATCGAACATCTCTGGAGAGACCTGAAAATAGCTGTGCAGCGACGCTCCCCATCCAACCTGAGAGAGATTGAGAGGATCTGCAGAGAGGAATGGGAGAAACCCTCCAAATACAGGTGTGCCAAGCTTGTAGCATCATACCCAAGAAGACGCGATGCTGTAATCTTTGCCAAAGGTGCTTCAACAAAGTACTCAGTAAAGGTTCTGAATACTTATGTAAATGTATTATTATTATATTTTTTTTTTTTGGGGTGGGGGTTGTATATAAATTAGCAAAAATGTCATTATGGGGTATTTTGTGTAGATTGATAAGGGAAAAAAACGATTTAATCAATTTTAGAATAAGGCTGTAACGTAACAAAATGTGGAAAAAGTCAAGGGGTCTGAATACTTCCCGAAGGCACTGTATAATGAAATGAGGTGGATATAAATAGTTTCGGGGGGAGAATATTATTTTGGGACCATCAGGTGACTTCCTGATGACTGATACACTGAATGTCCTGAGAACGCCGTAAAAACATCCTGGCCTGGTCCTCAATGACAGAGGGAACTCTAGGCAAAAGACTCCTAGATCTAGAGAACGGCACGCTGGGATAATGTCTTGTCAAAACCCTAAAAGGGACCTAATGGGAAGGTCACCAAATGTCCTTAGGATGTCCCCTGTCTGCTGGGAAGGCTTGTAATACTCACTATTTTATTCTATCTCTGTTGAGGTATGAATCTTTTTGTGCGCTGTTATGCAGTACAGTGCAGCGTTTTCCCGGATTTATTTTGACCACTGGATGTGAGTTACAATGTAAGCGTGTAAAGCCTGGTTGGTTTCTAGGTGTGAAGGGATACATCGGCCCCCTGGGGCCGGCTGGTCGTCCAGGCTTCACTGGGAGGAGGGGAGACGAAGGGAAGCCGGGTCCACCTGGTGACACCGGCCCAGAGGTGAGTCTACCAAGGTCATTAAGGTCACCAAAAGCCATATTCAAACTGTTACTGATTTAGTTACATACAGAAGGAACTGGAACTAGGAGTCGGGCCTTAAGCATGGATCTAATGTTTCTTTAAGATGCCTAAATCCTCATCATAATGATAGTAACCTCAACATGTCGGGGCCATACTTAGTTAAACTGGTAAACTTGGCCACCAGAGGGAGATTCTAAAACCTCCAACTTCAAGGTTTACTTTGTTACTCTTGGTCTGCAACAAGAAGTGAAGTGTGCCAATATTTATTGCCTGATGCATCCTTGACTAGGCTAGCCAACTAACATTAAACAAAATTCAAAAGAGACGTTTTCGCATACACATGTATGACCAGATTCCACGTTTTTGCCTGTTCGTTTCACAAACATCCATGTAATTTCACAGGAATAAAGATGTAGGAGAATTATACAACATGTAAGTTTGTATTCATACATCGTAAAAAAAAAAGTGGCAGATGCTCGTGGTCTTGTCAAATAGCTGTAATTTACCCCTTACTGCTATAACTAACTGGCGGCGGTAAGCCCAGAGATGGCAAGATACGATGACTGTGAGTTTGAAATCCACTCGGGCAAGGTTTTTCTTTGAGGAAAAAACACTCCACTGCTGGTCCTCGAGTCAAATAATGCATATGTGACAAAGTAGATGATTGTTAAAATACATATAAAATGTTGTACGCCTACATTTAGGTGTACATGTCCATGTAATATAGCCTATGCTAAATGATTATTAGGCCCTAGCAGTCTACAAGGCTGAAGGAAGACGTGGCTCCTTATTAAATTCATTTTTTGTTAACAGACACAATCATTCTGACCAGCTGGTCGTACTTAGCATAGTGGCTAATTGTGCCAGGTTTGCCTATGAGAAAATCTAGCAGCTAGCCAATTTAGACCAAAGGTCTAAACCTCCCGCCTAAGCAAAAGTTTGCGAGTATGGACTTGTCTAGTCTAAGGCTGCGTTTCAAACACATAAAAGACACACCCTCCTCCACTTACCCTCGCCTAATGCCCTTGGGGGAATACCCACGGCCATCTTTGCCGTCGGTCCAAACAATTACCCAAGCAAGGAAAGTTGGCAACGTAAGCCCCTCAGCCCTCGTTTTTGATCGAGTGTGCGAGTGTACAATTTTGTTCACTCCAGGGCCTGAAACGCCCCATAATTCAATTTGCGATGATTGTACATCCACTAAGAAAAGTCAGCCAAAACTTAAAACCAACATCAATATGGAGAAGTCAACATACAAGTGTAAGTAAAAATGAATGTAAATAAGTTAGAAATTGTGCTACTAATGCACATGACGCCACAAACACGTATCGTAAAAGTAATGATTGTTTGGTTAGCTTTTGGAAATGTTAGCTAGCGCATACAATCACACTTATACGTTGTAATTTTCGATTGACCTGATATCGTCGGATGGCTACTATTCAATGATGCGGATGTGTTGTCTTCTAGCCAGGATATGAAATATAATCATAATTGACTGTAGCGTATATAACGCACACACAACAGCTGGTTCCATGATGACTGAAAACATAACCGTGGGACGAATGAGTGACGAATATCCGGGCAAGAGCGGTCCATTTAAAATTAATTAATTCTTCCCTCGCCCCTTGCCCTGCAAGAGTCAACTCATCATACGTCATGATACGTCATCAGAAGTGTCCACTTAATTTGAGGACTGAGGGGAGAGCGTGTGTCTTTACGTGTTTGGAATGCAGCCTAAGTTTGATTGGTTCCACTCAGGGTGACAGTTACTCAGGATTCCCCGGTGAGAGAGGGTATCCAGGTTATGACGGACCAAAGGGGCTTGCTGGACCCGTCGGCCCCCCAGGACCTGATGTGATTGGGGCAGTGGGGGAACGGGGACTCCCAGGCGACCAGGGACCTCCAGGATTCAGGGGACCTCTTGGGCTCAAAGGAGTAAGGGGTAAGGAGCTTGTCAGTGTGTGTGAAACACGAAGACATTATTTGGTTTCTGACTTTTGTATTGACAGGTCAGGGTTGGAAATCAGCATTTATTACTGTTAGTTATTAATTACCTATTTATTAGTTATTTGTGTGTATGTATTACTGGATGAAGAGTGGTAGATGAACAAAAGAGATGCATGCACACTCAATTACAACCTTGGAGTAAACTCAAACAACCCTTCATGACAAAAGATAACATTATTTAAGAAGCGCTTTTAAAACATAAGCCATCCTGTTTGTCCTCCTCACCCCATCCCATGCCGCCGCTCTCTTGTTCAGGTGACACCCTACCCTGCATACCCAGTAACCCTGGTGCCCCAGGACAGAAAGGCGATGCCGGAAGCCCAGGTAAAAAACATACAGAAACTCCAGCACACTGTGAAAAGTATCACTTTCTTATTGTGCTAATGTTTCAGCATTTCGGCATGCCTACAAGCCTACTCTGTCTTTGAATAAATTAATGAATTGTATTTGACAATTTAAAAATACACAGTTGTCTCAGCCATGTGAACATAACAATACAGACATAAAAAAATTATCACGGGTAAACACACAACTTTTATTTAACCTTTATTTAAGCAGGGATTCATGATGAGACCACAGTGTCTTTCGCAGATGAGCCCAGCATGAACACATTAATAAACAACAATTACTCTATACATATCTACAGTGTATATACACATCAGTTACACAATACATGAAAGCAAACACAAAACACGAAAAGAAAAATTGCCCTAGAGGCACCAACTCTACCAACTTTAAGGACTTTTGGAGATCATTCCACGAGGCGCAAAAAAAACTAAAAGCAGATTTACGTAACTAGGTGGACATTGAAGGAATCTCCAGGGCTAACCATCCCTGAGTCCGAATCTGGTAACGTATACATCTGAAGGTCAACAATGAAGTAAGGTATGGCAGAAGTTTATGCAAAATGACTTTATAGATAAAAAGAGTGCAATGCATCGATCCACAAGACTTACAATCTATGAGACTTTCTGATGGTGTCAAGTTACCTCGATATTACTAAAGGTGTCCCCCTGGGGTCTATTTTGGGACCTGTCCTCTTTACTATTTATATTAATTATGCAGATGACACTGTTATGTACCCTATTGCCCCTACTGCTGACTAGGCTATGTTAGAGATGCAATCTGATTTTGTTGCCTTGGAGAAAGCCCTTGTTGATTATGTTGTGGAAAATAATCACTATACTTTATTAAAAATCAAAGTTCTTCCAGAGTTTTTGTAGAATCAAGATTTGACTTTATTTACAATTCAAACAAAGCCGTGCTGATATGCAGAGTAGCCCATTTTCTCTCTCTCTCCTCCCCCTCTATATAGTCTCATTCACACACATCCTAGCTTAAAATCCCTCCCTCTTCAGTTTCCCGCTCTCTATCGCTCCACCCACTTCCTTTGTCTATGATGGCGGCTAAATTCAACTTTTATTCAGTTCAGAATCAATAGTAATACAATCAATCAATCCCTTATCTTGCAAAAACACTCATGTTTAGTTTAAACTCTGTTCAACCCGAGCTCTCCTGAGCTTAACATGAAGATTGATTGTTGGACATGGCAGGTTCACACTTAATCTTTCACACCCAAACCTACTCCTCTTCCCCTCCCACCATGCTGTAATTACTCATGACTAGTCTAAACTCTGTTCAACTTTGGCTCCGCTCTCAGAACCTTTGTTTGAGGAGAGATACATTAGGCCACAGTCTGGTTTCAGTCTCTGATAAGGTAGGACAGCCATGGATTTAAGTAAGAGCGAGCAATTCGACCCTAGGTCAGATTCCCACTTCACCCCCCCACACACACAGTGAAACGACCCAATTAAGTTCTTGCCTAGCAACAGAGAATTCTAACTATATATTCGTGATTAACTCAGTTTTATCTCATAGTCCACTAAAAAATCTCCCTCAATTTAAAATTGGTACTAAATGTGGGATAAACAAAATGTATGTTGTTTTCTCATTCTCATATAAATATTTCAGATGGTTTACACATTTATGCATTGGATGTTACACTCATCAAGCAGGTCCCCGCCTATAAATATCTGGCCTTTTGGATTGACTAAAAAACATACGGATGAGCTAGTTAAGAAGCTGAGATTTAAAGTAGGCTTCTTCTGCCTAAACAGCAGGAAGCAGGTTATACAGCAACCTTCTTGCCAGCTCTTGATTATGGTGACACCATTTATCAGAATGCAGCAGCCACTACTACTCTAAAACCCTTGGATGCAGTGTACCATAGCGTGCTTCACAGGTGACATGTTTAATACTCATCACAGCATCCTTTATCAGAATGTCGGCTGGATCTCTCTAAATTCCCGTAGATCACTTAATTTCTCCCTTTCTGTTTACAAAGCTATGCTGCACAAGCTTCCAACATATCTCACTTCTCTGTTAACGTATAAAAATATGAGGCACCAAACCCGCTCACAGGGTTGGCTAACTCTTGAGGTCCCTCGTGTCTCTACCAAACTAGGTAAATCAGCCTTTAGTTTTGGAATATTTTACAATCATCATTACATCTTGAATCCCTGGTGCCAATAGGGCAGTTTAGAACGCTGATGAGGAATTCATTCACTGAGGTTTGTGAGTGTTTTGGTTGATTGAAATAATGTATTTATGTTGTTGAAATGTATTGTATATGTAATTGCTGCATCTTGTAGGTAATTTTTTGCTGTTTTATTGAATTATCATGTTGATTTGTGAATGGTTTGTTCTCAGGGTACCATTGAGAATGAGACCATGGTCTCAACTGGGTTCCCCTGAATAAATGAAAGTTAAATAAATTGTAAAAACGCAAGGAGGGCCAGCCTACATTCTGATACAATATACAATTATGTGTACTTAACCTATCGCCTGTAATAAAATACAATGCGTTATGATGAACTGCCTCCAATGGCTTCAATACAGTGGCAGATGCATTCATAAAGACAGTATCGCCGTAGTCAATAACTAGAATACTTGTTGACTGAATTATTCGTTTTCTGCTATTTAACAAAAGACAAGACCTGTTCCTATAGAAGAAAAGCTTTTTCCAAAGTATGTATGCATAAATAATCAGATACATTTTTTCAAGGATTTGTTCAATTTTTTTTTATCTAAGGCGTTTAAAGGGAGCGTGTTTGTCTGCCAGAGAGAGAAAAATAGATGAGAACATTCTAGAGCTAATTCAGAGTCAGGCATGCAGCTGATAGAGGACAATTCAGAGTAATCATGAAGAAAAGCTTGTAATAAATCCCTGCAACAGATAAATGTGTATTTTGGCTTATGGCCACATCTTTAACTAAAAGCTAAAACAAATGTAGGATAGTGATATTTAGAGCCACCCCTCCCTCTTTATATCAGTCTGTCACACCTGAAGATGTTGTAATCAGCAATGCCAATGTACTTATCCGGGATCTCTGTGTGAACAAAAGTATCCGGGCTCGTGTCATGCACCCAGATATCAAGAAGGTCCATCTTTGACATCAAACTTTGTATGTTTCTATGTAACAGCCCAAGCCCTCTACGTGATTTGAAAACAGCAGGGGTATCCATATTTGTGGTATTTGAAATAATAGCACTGGTTGAGCTTACCAACGTGGGCTTCCCAATTAGCCTTAACAGTAACAGAGCTAACAGTGGAATTCCAACTTTATGGTCACAAAATAGGTTGGCACTGAACATGGTGTGACATATTTCTCTTTTTTTGTCTAGGGCTGAACGGAGAGTCAGGACCCCCAGGGTATCTTGGAGCTTTGGGCCCAGACGGGATGAAGGGAGAGAAAGGAGACTTTGGGCTGTCTGGACCACCTGGACCCATAGGTAGAAATATAATCTCTTTGTTTACCATTAGAGAATATTACTGCCTGATTAAGTGCCTTCTCTCCATTATGCTTTACTCACTAGAGATTGTCCCCATTCTAAAGACTCAAACATATCACAATTAGGTGATACTTATATTTTTCCTCTTTCACTGCATGTACAAGTGTTTTTTTGCATATCCCTGAGACACCCTTGGAGGGTGGGGTCCCAGCCATTATTGACAGCGACCCTGGAGCAATTAGGGTTACGTTCCTTGCTCAAGGGCACAGCAGCAGATTCTTCACATAGTCGACTCAGGGATTCGAACTAGCGACCTTTTCGGTTACTGGCCCAACCGCTAGGTTACCCGCCGTCCTTAGACAGTGTTTTTTTATTTATATATTTTATTTTATAGGGGGTACGTCAGCTTTAAAATTCAGATAAATTGTGGCTTCCATCAATGTAATGGTCTGCATCATTTTCAATCCCCCATATACAGTGCATTCGGAAAGTATCTAGACCACTTCCCTTTTCCCACTTTTTGTTACGTTACAGCCTTATTCTAAAATGGATTAAATTAAACATTTTCCTCATCAATCTACACACAATACCCCATAATGACAAAGCTAAAACAAGTTTTTTGAAATGTTTGTACATTTCTTAATAAATAAAAAACAGAAATACCTTATTTACATAAGTATTCAGACCCTTTTCTATGAGACTTGAAATTGAGCACAGTTGCATCCTGTTTCCATTGATCATCCTTGATGTTTCTACAACTTGATTGGAGTCCACTTGTGGTAAATTCAATTGATTGGACATGAATTGGAAAGGCACACACCTGTCTATATAAGGTCCCACAGTTGACAGTGCATGTCAGAGCAAAAACCAAGCCATGAGGTCGAAGGAATTATCCGTAGAGCTCCGAGACAGGATTGTGTCGAGGCACAGATCTGGGTAAGGATACCAAAAAATGTCTGCAGCATTGAAGGTCCCCAAGAACACAGTGGCCTCCATCATTATTAAATTGAAGAAGTTTGGAACCATCAAGACTCTTCCTAGAGCTGGCCGCCCGGCCAAACGGAGCAATCGGGGGAGAAGGACCTTGGTCAGGGAGGTGACCAAGAACCCGATAGAGCTCTAGAGTTCCTCTGTGGAGATGGGAGAACCTTCCAGAAGGACAACCATCTCTGCAGCACTCCACAGATCAGGCCTTTATGGTAGAGTGGCCAGATGGAAGCCACTCCTCAGTAAAAGGCACATGACAGCCCGCTTGGTGTTTGCGAAAAGGCACCTAAAGGTCTCTCAGACCTTGAAAAACAAGATAATCTGGTCTGATGAAAACCAAGATTAAACTCTTTGGCATGAATGCCAAGCGTCACGTCTGGAGGCAACCTGGCACCATCCCTACGGTGAAGCATGATGGTGGCAGCATCATACTGTGGGGATGTTTTTCAGCAGCAGGGACTGGGAGACTAGTCAGGATCAAGGGAAAGATGAACGGAGCAAAGTACAGAGAGATCCTTGATGAAAAGCTGCTCCAGAGCACTCAGGACCTCAGACAGGCGAAGGTTCACCTTCCAACAGGACAATGACCCTAAGCACACAGCAAAGACAATGCAGGAGAGTCTCTGAATGTCCTTGCTTGGCCCAGCCAGAGCCTGGACATGAACCCGATCGAACATCTCTGTAGAGACCTGAAAATATCTGTGCAGCAACCTGACAGAGCTTGAGAGAATCTGCAGAGAAGAATGGGAAAAACTCCCCAAATACAGGTGTGCCTAACTTGTAGCGTCATACCCAAGAAGACTTGAGGTTGTAATCGCTGCTAAAGGTGCTTCAACAAAGTACTGAGTAAAGGTTCTGAATACTTATGTAAATGTAATATTACAGTGTTTTATTTTTAAAAAATTGCTCTGTCATTATGGGGTATTGTGTGTAGATTGATGAGGGGCAAAAACAATTTAATCTATTTTAGAATAAGGCTGTAAAGACGAGGGGTCTGAATACTTTCAGAATGCACTGTAAGTAGGCCCCTTTAATTCTGTCTGGCTAGAATTAATTGTTTTGCTAATATAATTTTAAAAACAAGTTGCTAGGTGTAGGCAAGGCCATAAGCAAATAGGTAAACTGGGATATGACTAAAGTGTTAATCAGGTTGATTTTTTCCTTTTCATGGTAGCAAGATCTTATCTACAGTGGGGGAAAAAAGTATTTAGTCAGCCACCAATTGTGCAAGTTCTCCCACTTAAAAAGATGAGAGAGGCCTGTAATTTTCATCATAGGTACACGTCAACTATGACAGACAAAATGAGGAAAAGAAATCCAGAAAATCACATTGTAGGATTTTTTATGAATTTATTTGCAAATTATGGTGGAAAATAAGTATTTGGTCAATAACAAAAGTTTCTCAATACTTTGTTATATACCCTTTGTTGGCAATGACACAGGTCAAAAGTTTTCTGTTTCGGTTTTCACACACTGTTGCTGGTATTTTGGCCCATTCCTCCATGCAGATCTCCTCTAGATCAGTGATGTTTTGGGGCTGTCGCTGGGCAACACGGACTTTCAGCTCCCTCCAAAGATTTTCTATGGGGTTGAGATCTGGAGACTGGCTAGGCCACTCCAGGACCTTGAAATGCTTCTTACGAAGCCACTCCTTCGTTGCCCGGGCGGTGTGTTTGGGATCATTGTCATGCTGAAAGACCCAGCCACGTTTCATCTTCAATGCCCTTGCTGATGGAAGGAGGTTTTCACTCAAAATCTCACGATACATGGCCCCATTCATTCTTTCCTTTACACGGATCAGTCGTCCTGGTCCCTTTGCAGAAAAACAGCCCCAAAGCATGATGTTTCCACCCCCATGCTTCACAGTAGGTATGGTGTTCTTTGGATGCAACTCAGCATTCTTTGTCCTCCAAACACGACGAGTTGAGTTTTTACCAAAAAGTTCTATTTTGGTTTCATCTGACCATATGACATTCTCCCAATCCTCTTCTGGATCATCCAAATGCACTCTCGCAAACTTCAGATGGGCCTGGACATGTACTGGCTTAAGCAGGGGGACACGTCTTGCACTGCAGGATTTGAGTCCCTGGCGGCGTAGTGTGTTACTGATGGTAGGCTTTGTTACTTTGGTCCCAGCTCTCTGCAGGTCATTCACTAGGTCCCCCCGTGTGGTTCTGGGATTTTTGCTCACCGTTCTTGTGATCATTTTGACCCCACGGGGTGAGATCTTGCGTGGAGCCCCAGATCGAGGGAGATTATCAGTGGTCTTGTATGTCTTCCATTTCCTAATAATTGCTCCCACAGTTGATTTCTTCAAACCAAGCTGCTTACCTATTGCAGATTCAGTCTTCCCAGCCTGGTGCAGGTCTACAATTTTGTTTCTGGTGTCCTTTGACAGCTCTTTGGTCTTGGCCATAGTGGAGTTTGGAGTGTGACTGTTTGAGGTTGTGGACAGGTGTCTTTTATACTGATAACAAGTTCAAACAGGTGCCATTAATACAGGTAACGAGTGGAGGACAGAGGAGCCTCTTAAAGAAGAAGTTACAGGTCTGTGAGAGCCAGAAATCTTGCTTGTTTGTAGGTGACCAAATACTTATTTTCCACTATAATTTGCAAATAAATTCATTAAAAATCCTACAATGTGATTTTCTGGAAATGTTTTTCTCATTTTGTCTGTCATAGTTGACGTGTACCTATGATGAAAATTACAGGCCTCTCTCATCTTTTTAGCAAAGCTTCTCAGCTTCTTAGCAAAGAGCAATTTCTCAAGAATTTTGCTAGGACAGGTCTGAGAGTGGTCTGAGTGGAGAAAACTGAAAATTAGCTGTTATTGGCAGAGAGGTTTGGAACTATCTTTCTTATTGGTCTATTACCTAATTTACCGCCTGTTGAAGTCACCAGGCACACCAAAACTCCATCCCACCAAAACAGGCTGAAATTTCAGGCGGTCTTTTCAAACGTACACTAAAAGGGAATTGTCATAATTTTCACAACTGCACAATGTTATTCCAACCTCATGGTGTAGAAATATATATTTAAAACACAGGAAAACCAAGGTACAGCTAATGTGGAATATTGCAGTTTGAAGGAAGTTGAAGGTAGTTTTGCGAGCCATTGCTGCTGTATGTGTAGACTTCCAGTCATTGTGCTAATGCTAGTTAGCAACTTCTTTCAAACTGCATGCAGAGACTTAACATTTTTATCCACGACTTCATCTGGCTGTGGGTAAATAGAAAAAGGGCTCAATTGACAATATCTCGCACTATCCCTTTAAGCTTTTTTTGGCATGTCCATGTTACTAGATAGCAAATGTTACCTAATCAGCTGTGCTAATAATCTGTAGAAAGCCCTTGATGATACTAGCTAGATGGCCACAACTAGATAACTATCAAGATGATTAAGTCACTCTCAGTTGTCCCATGCTGCCAGTGTCAGCTAGCCAAATGTCTAGCTTGCTAGCTAATGTGAGCTAAACGATTAAACCTGTTAATTACTGAGCTTTTAACACAATGCTTATTAGCTACACCTGCTGGTACGTTCTACACAGTAGCTATTAATGTTGATATACCAGGTTTTTCACAGTACCTCAGTGGCACAGTGGTTAGTCATGGGCTTGGTCAAGCTAAACTCAGATCGAAAACCAGGTTCGCATTTCATGCTTCCTAATTTTTTACCTCTAAGTTGACTCTTTAAAAAAAAAATGTGGCTCTATGGCATTATTTAGACAAATCTTGTCACTAAATAAAACAAATTATTTGAACACCAATGTGCAGCTACTAGTGTTGGTTTCAAAGAAAACAATTTTCAAAACAGTACCTAGGCAGGATTCGGCCATATGTCTTATGGCGAACTCGGCTCCATGCTCACCGTCCCTACCTGTTCAAGTGCTACCATTCAAGTGCTTTGATGAGGAAAAAAAGCCTAAGTTAATTTGTTTGTAATTTGTCCAGCCGAGGTCGGTGTTTTGAAAGCAACTTGGCATTGGTGAAAGCACCGAGACAATGGCGGAATCAGTAGGATACCGCATATGAAACGCATGATTTTATGAAACACGTTTAGAAAAATCACATGATCAAACAAAGTAATTGATCACATGGCAATTTTAATGTTTTAAGGTCTTTGTTTGGATCAGACTGCTCTGAAATTTTTACACAAGCCTTGATGTGTCGATGTCTTGCATAACATTACTAGTTAGCATCGTAATTTGCTAGCTAGCACAACATATATAGCTAGCTAGCTAGTTAGCTAAATATACTGGTTTAATATTAATGTTACAGTGGCTACAGTGGCTAGATAGCTAGCTTATGGAGGAAAAATGTAGTGTTCAGCATTGTGTGCACTTGCTGCACTTAGCATCCCATTCGTTTCATATGAAGTGTGGCTGGAGATTTGTGTGCACGTATCAAACTTCCAATATAATGCTCCTTCAAGCACAAAACTCCTTAGCTAGATGTAAAAGATGCAACTAAGAAGTAATTAAGACTTTTATTTAGCAGATGTTAATGCAGATTTATTGTTTTACTTAAGATACATTCTGGCTGTTTTGCAGATGAAAGGGGGTGGATATCACTGGGAAAAGTACCCTATCTTCTTCTTCTCGTTGTTGCTCCTTTCATGCTTTCTGATTAGCTCAAAGTCAAGTTGACAGCCAGGCTGATAATACATTGAAACGGTGAGAGAAGCCGCAGTTTGTACCTGTTGTTCTAGCAAGCGAAGGAAAGGCCCTCTACTGTGCAGGCCAACAATCTTAGTGGTGTGTTTGTGCCTTAAGACACTGTGCTTTGTTTTATATACCATTCCACACAATAATTTAATTAAAGCTTACACTAGATAATGTTCTATCTTTCCCTACCCCAGGCTCGGTGGGGTGTGTTGGAGACTCTGGAGAGGATGGTGCTGAGGGTCTGAGCTACGACGGAGCTGCCGGCTCTCCTGGCTTCCGAGGGTGTCCAGGACTGAAGGGCCCATTTGGGGACTCAGTCCCCGGCGCTCCAGGACCTATGGGCCTCAAGGGGGTAGTGGGGCTGTCGGGGCCCAAAGGAGTGCCAGGTCCACCCGGTCCAATCGGATTAACAGGTACCACCAATAAGCGACATTGAAATTGATTAAAGATTTTGAAACGTCTGCTTTAGGTATGAGGTAGTGTGTACCATATTACAGCTGACAGTCTTATAATGTGTACAGTCATATGCCTCTCAACTGGTCAGAGAAACCAGAAACTACCAGAAACACCAGAAACTATCTAGAAACTACCAGAAACATTAGAAACTATCCACAAAAATGTAATAGTTTGTGTTTTTATGTGTGATCTTAGAGAGGGTTGACTTGTCTTCTCTAGGTGCTGCGGGGCTTCCTGGTACACTGGGAAGGAAGGGGGGGCAGGGAGAGAGTGGTGCCACGGGCAGATATGGGGCCCCGGGGCCCTCCCCTGTACAGTGTGAAGAGGGGGCCTCAGGCCTTCGAGGACCCATGGGGCTAATAGGGGACATAGGCCCTCCAGGTAGGTCCTACTGACAATAGCAGCTTTGAATCAGAAAGAAAATAAAAACGTGTGTGCGTAGTAGGGCATTTCTGTATAGGTCTGCCTCATTGGGTAATATAATTATTCTGTGTGCTTTTGTCAGGTTGCGCAGGCGAGAAAGGTGATAACGGAGAGGAGGGTCTGTCCGGCACGGGTCCTAAAGGAGCTGCAGGGAAACCGGGCCCTCCAGGGTTTCCTGGGTACTGTGGAGCCCAGGGCCCCATGGGGCCATTAGGGGACCCTGGCATACCCGGGGCCCAAGGGCAGAAAGGTGAGAGAGGCACTTCCGCTGCAGCACGTCACCCTACAGAGTCTGTGATAAGTAGAATGAATGAACATGAGCATGCATTCTAAGTGGTTTGCAAGTATGGACATTGGAACGTAGTCCATGGGGACATCTGGGGTCCCAGCCAATGCAACAAACATTAGCATTAGCATCCATAATGTCCTATTTGCAGCCTTTACAAGGCCAGAGCTGTACTGATATCCAATATGGCATCCTGTGTTCAGGTCTAATAGGGGTACCTGGTAGGGATGGGTCAGTGGGTGGTCCAGGGAGTAGTGGAACACTAGGACCCCCGGGAAGGAAAGGAGAGAGGGGTTTCGACGGTCAACGAGGCTTACCAGGAGATGAGGGCCTGAAAGGAGAAAAGGGTATGTGAATAAATTCAACATGGAAATCACACTCATAACATTATTCAATGCAGTGCTCATTAAAACAATAGTTTGTAGACGCACCATTTTAGCATAATATTGGAGTGCAGTTGAGAATCTTCAATATCCCCCTAGTTGCCTTGCAGCAAGTTGTCAAAATACATTCAAACAGCATACATTTAACATTCTACTGTACACTATTTGTAGTGATGGGATTGTAAGAGAGATGGTCTAACTTTTCCATCTGTTCCAGGTAGAAAAGGTTCCCCCGGAGCCCCAGGAGTCACCAACTTCATTTCTATCAAAGGACGAACAGGAGCTCCTGGAGCCCCAGGTCCTGATGGCTTCACTGGTCCAAGAGGTGAGAGATAGGCTACAATCAACATGTAATCCCACTAGTCTTAATATACAGTTCCTTCAGAAAGTATTCATGCCCCTTTACTTATTCCACATTTCGTTGTTACAGCCTGAATTCAAAATGGATTAAATGTATTTTTTTCTCTCACCCATCTACTACACACAATACTCCATAATAACAGTGAAAACATGTTTTTAGAAATTGTGTCACATTTATTGAAAATGAAATACAGAAATTTCTAATTTACATAAATAGTCACACCCCTGAGTCAATACTTTGTAGAAGCACCTTTGGTGGCAATGAAATCTTTAAATCGTATTGGGTATGTCTGTATCAGCTTTGCACATCTGGATTTGGGAATTTTTTCCCATTCTTCCTTGCAGATTTTCTCAAGTTCTTTTAAGTTATATGGAGAGCGGTGGTGAACAGTTAGCTTCAATTTGATTCAAGTCTGGGCTTTGGCTGGGCAACTCAAGGACTTCCACATTCTTGTTCTGAAGCCATTCCAGCGTTGCTTTGGCTCTATGCTTGGCATCGTTGTCTTGTTGGAACGTAAATCTTCGCCCCCAGTCTAAGGTCGTTTGCACTCTGAAGCAGGTTATCATCAACGATTTGCCTGTATTTGGCTCCGTTCATTGTTCCCTCTATCCTTGCCAGTCACCCAGTCCCTGCCGTTGAAAAACATCCCCATAACATGATGCTGCCACCACCATGCTTCACGGTAGGGATGGTGTTAGACAGGTGATGAGCAATGCAATTTTTTCTCCAGACATAGCGCTTTGCATTCAGGCCAAAGAGTTCAATTTTTTTTCATCAGACCACAGAATATTTTGCGTTAGATTGATGGGGAAAAAAAGTAATTTAATTTTTACATTTACATTTACGTCATTTAGCAGACGCTCTTATCCAGAGCGATTTACAAATTGGTGCATTCAACTTATGATAGCCAGTGGGACAACCACTTTTTTTAAAAATGTTATGGGGGGTGGGGGAAGAAGGATTACTTTTATACTATAACAGGTATTCCTTAAAGAAGTAGGGTTTTAAGTGTCTCCGGAAGGTGGTCAGTGACTTCGCTGTCCTGGCGTCGTGGGGGAGCTTGTTCCACCATTGGGGTGCCAGAGCAGCGAATAGCTTTGACTGGGCTGTGCGGGAACTGTGCTTCCGTAGAGGTAGGGGAGCTAGCAGGCCAGAGGTGGATGAACGTAGTGCCCTCGTTTGGGTGTAGGGTCTGATCAGAGCCTGAAGGTAAGGAGGTGCCGTTCCCCTCACAGCTCCGTAGGCAAGCACCATGGTCTTGTAGTAGATGCGAGTAGATGCGAGCCTCAACTGGAAGCCGGTGGAGTGTGCGGAGGAGCGGGGTGACATGAGAGAACATGGGAAGGTTGAACACCAGACGGGCTGCAGCGTTCTGGATAAGTTGTAGGGGTTTAATGGCACAGGAAGGGAGCCCAGCCAACAGCGAGTTGCAGTAATCCAGACGGGAGATTACAAGTGCCTGGATTAGGACCTGTGCCGCTTTCTGTGTAAGGTAGGGTTGTACTCTGCGAATGTTGTAGAGCATGAACCTGCAGGATCGGGTCACCGCTTTGATGTTAGCGGAGAACGACAGGGTTTTGTCCAGGGTCACGCCAAGGTTCTTTGCACTCTGGGAGGAGGACACAATGGAGTTGTCAACTGTGATGGCGAGATCATGGAGCAGGCAGTCCTTCCCCGGGAGGAAGAGCAGCTCCGTCTTGCCGAGGTTCAGCTTGAGGTGGTGATCCGACATCCACACTGATATGTCTGCCAGACATGCAGAGATGTGATTCACCACCTGGTTATCAGAAGGGGGAAAGGAGAAAATTAATTGTGTGTCGTCTGCGTAGTAATGATAGGAAAGACCATGTGAGGATATGACAGAGCCAAGTGACTTGGTGTATAGAGAGAATAGGAGAGGGCCTAGAACTGAGCCCTGGGGGACACCAGTGGTGAGAGCACGTGGTGCCGAGACAGATTCTCGCCACGCCACCTGGTAGGAGTGACCTGTCAGGTAGGACGCAATCCAAGAGTGAGCAGCGCCGGAGATGCCCAACTCGGAGAGGGTGGAGAGGAGGATCTGATGGTTCACAGTATCAAAGGCAGCGGATAGGTCTAGAAGGATAAGAGCAGAGGAGAGAGAGTTAGCTTTAGCAGTGCGGAGAGCCTCCGTGACACAGAGAAGAGTAGTCTCAGTTGAATGACCAGTCTTGAAACCTGACTGGTTTGGATCAAGAAGGTCATTCTGAGAGAGATAGCAGGAGAGTTGGCTAGAGACTGCACGCTCAAGACTTTTGGAGAGAAAAGAAAGAAGGGATACTGGTCTGTAGTTGTTGACATCGGAGGGATCGAGTGTAGGTTTTTTGAGGAGGGGTTCAACTCTCACTCTCTTGAAGACAGAAGGAACATGGCCAGCGGTCAAGGATGAGTTGATGAGCGAGGTGAGGTAAGGGAGAAGGTCTCCGGAAATGGTCTGGAGAAGAGAGGAGGGGATAGGGTCAAGCGGGCAGGTTGTTGGGCGGCCGGCCGTCACAAGTCGCAAGATTTCATCTGGAGATAGAGGGGAGAAAGAAGTCAAAGCGTAGGGTAGGGCAGTGTGAGCAGGACCAGCGGTGTCATTTGACTTAATAAATGAGGATCGGATGTCGTCAACCTTCTTTTCGAAATGGTTGACGAAGTCATCCACAGAGAGGGAGGAGGGAGGGGGAGGAGGAGGAGGATTCAGCAGGGAGGAGAAGGTGGCAAAGAGCTTCCTAGGGTTAGAGGCAGAGGCTTGAAATTTTGAGTGGTAGAAAGTGGCTTTAGCAGCGGAAACAGGAAGAGAATGTAGATAGGAGGGAGTGAAAAGATGACAGGTCCGCATGGAGTCTAGTTTTCCTCCATTTCCGCTCGGCTGCCCGGAGCCCTGTTCTGTGAGCTCGCAATGAGTCGTAAAGCCACGGAGCAGGAGGGGAGGACCGAGCCGGCCGGGAGGATAGGGGACAGAGAGAGTCAAAAGATGCAGAAAGGGAGGAGAGGAGGGTTGAGGAGGCAGAATCAGGAGATCGGAGGGAGAAGGATTTAGCAGAGGGAAAAGTGATAGGATGGAAGAGGAGAGAGTACATTTACATTTTACATTTAAGTCATTTAGCAGACGCTCTTATCCAGAGCGACTTAGAAATTGGTGCATTCACCTTATAGCCAGTGGGATAACCACTTTACAATATGTTTTATTTAATTTTTTTGGGTGGGGTAAGGGGGGGGTAGAAGGATTACTTTATCCTATCCCAGGTATTCCTTAAAGAGGTGGGGTTTCAAGTGTCTCCGGAAGGTGGTGAGTGACTCCGCTGTCCTGGCGTCGTGAGGGAGCTTGTTCCACCATTGGGGTGCCAGAGCAGTGAACAGTTTTGACTGGGCTGAGCGGGAACTGTGCTTCCGCAGAGGTAGGGGGGCCAGCAGGCCAGAGGTGGATGAACGCAATGCCCTCGTTTTGGTGTAGGGACTGATCAGAGCCTGAAGGTACGCAGGTGCCGTTCCCCTCACAGCTCTGTAGGCAAGCACCATGGTCTTGTAGCAGATGTGAGCTTCAACTGGAAGCTAGTGGAGTGTGCGGAGGAGCGGGGTGACGTGAGAGAACTTGGGAAGGTTGAACACCAGATGGGCTGCCGCATTCTGGATGAGTTGTAGGGGTTTAATGGCACAGGCAGGGAGTAGCGGGTGAGAGAGAGCGAAGGTTGTGACGGCACATTACCATCTGAGTAGGGGCAGAGTGAGAAGTGTTGGAGGAGAGTGAGAGAGAAAAGGATACAAAGTTGTGGTCGGAGATTTGGAGGGGTGTTGCAGTGAGATTAGTAGAAGAACAGCATCTAGTAAAGATGACGTCAAGCGTATTGCCTGCCTTGTGAGTAGGGGGGGACGGTGAGAGGGTGAGGTCAAAAGAGGATAGGAGTGGAAAGAAGGAGGCAGAGAGAAATGAGTTAAAGGCAGACGTAGGGAGGTTAAAGTCTTTGAAGGATCTTTAGGGTTTGGCCATGTAGGCTTGGTCACCAGCACGGTTAGGTTTAGATCATTACACGTCTTCGAGATTGCCTGAAGGCTGCATTTCCCAATCATAATTCAGGTCACCCAAGATAATAACTTCTGATTTTAAGTAAAAGAAGACAACAAACTAGTTAACTCCTCAAGTGCACAAAGGTTAGCAGAGGGAGGCCCCTATAACAGTTGTGGATAAATATTGCCCCAGACAAAGGTTTAAAAATAGTAGGGGAAATAAATTGGCAAGGGAAATAGATATCAGTAAAGAGACAGAGAAATTATTTGGCCATTCCACCACCTCTACCCTGTCTGTCAGCTCTGAACACATTATAACCCTCAATATTAATGTCAGAGGCCAGCATGTCCCCAGAGATCCAGGTTTCAGTCAATACCAGAATGTCCGGATTCGTCTGCATAGCCCAGATCTTGATGTAATCCAGTTTAGGAAGTAAGCTCCTAATGATCAGATGCATCAACCCAAGTCCTTTACGATTTTTTAAGTCACATGGCGTCTCCAACTCAAAAAATTATGTTCAATAGGCAGTTGCAGGCCCTGTCTGATGGTTGATATTGATATAGTTGGTATGGCTATAAGATTGCATAAAACTGCACCATTTGGTCTATTCCTATTAGTAATAGAGGAAGGAGTAAAAACTGGAATTTCTTTTCCGACGTTAGCGCCATAGGGCCATAGCCAATGTCAATATGCGGAACTCACAGAGTAACCAATTATGGAATGTTATAAACTGACTTACATTGGCTTTGGTTGCTATCGTGCAACAGTTCAAGCCCTCTATGTGAATTGAAAAATTCACATTTTAACTAAAAGCGCTGGCTTATCTTTTGAGCTAACAAAAGCAGATCTAAGAGTGGACTTCAAATGAATGGGTACAAGATTACAACTGACAACAACCCTGGCAGTATAGACAAAAGTACGATGATAACCCTTAGAAAGGATGGG